ATTCCTGATTATATATTTAAAGATTATATTGTTAACTTGGGAATAAAATATAATCTAATCTCAAAATATACAAGGTAAGCAACAAATATTAATGATAATTTTTTTCTTGTAAATTAATAAATAGTAATAATATCATTAATGATTATTATTATATATAATTTTAGTTTTATTGTAATTGATGAACAATCAAAAGAATCAATTTCTCAGAAACCACCAGAAGTTAGACACGTTCCAAATAAAGCATCATCACAGATGTCACCGCAAATGCCTGGATGGTTTTGTGGTTTTGGAACTAATACTAATTCTTATACATTGGGCTTGGGTATTTATGTATTTACTTGCACATCAAAAATGATATTAATATTGACATTAACATGTAATTTATTTATTATATTAAAAAAAATGTTGTGTAGCTGCTCCAATAAATGCATCATTTGGATTTGGATTCGGTGCTGCTCCTCGACTACCAACGAATACACTTTCTTCATATGTTGCTGCTTCTCAACCACCAACGAACTCATCGGCTTTATTTGGTACTGCTTTTCAACTATCGACGAATTCATCGTCTTTATTTGGTGCTGCTCCTCAACCACCAACGAATTCATCGTCTTTATTCGGTGCTGCTCCTCAACCACCAACAAATTCACCGTCTTTATTCGGTGCTGCTTCCCAAACACCAATGAATTCACCGTCTTTATTTGATGCTGCTCCTCAGCCACCAACGAATTCACCGTCTTTATTCGGTGCTGCTTCCCAAACACCAATGAATTCACCGTCTTTATTCGGTGCTGCTCCTCAACCACCAACGAATTCACCGTCTTTATTTGGTGCTGCTCCTCAACCACCAACAACAAGTCCACATGATCAGGAAAACATTGTAAGAAGTAGTTACAATAGTTACAAGTCATTGCTTTTTCCACCTGCATTATCAGAACAGGATTGTGCTAGCAAGCCTTATGGTATTTATTATTTACTTACATAATAAAAGACTATTTTAAAATATATTTAACATAGTTTATTATTAAAAAATGCTGTGTAGTGGCTCAAACAAGTTCATATGGAAATTTTCCTGGTATTTATTTATTTATTTGCATATTAAAAAATGATATTAATATTGACATTAATTAACTAACGTATCTTTAAAAAATTTTGTTGTGCTTGTTTGCGCCACTTTCTTTTCCTCCTACTAATAATATTAATAATGATCAAAATCAAAAAGAAAAAAAGAAAGAGACGACCAAGGAAGAAATAAAAGAACATAAAAAACCCAAAATTGAAACACTATTAACATTTTTGTCACTTCAATCATTTGATGGTAAATTTCAACCTAAAAATGAATTTTTTGAATTTTTTGGAAAAAATTCAATGGATGAATTCAATTTTGAAAATAATTTTGAAAATAAAGATGATGAGCAGCAAAAAGTGAAATTATGTACTATTATTGCATTGATTTATTTGGAAGTGGTGATGATGAAGGATTTTAAAGATGAATGTGATATTTGTTATGAAAAATCTAAAAAAGCATTAACAACTAAATTTAAAGATTATAATGAAGAGAATGTCAAGAATGTTATGGATAGTGTTAGGAAATGGATGAATGATTGGATCAAAGAATAAAAATATATATGTTATAGTGCCTTGATAATTAATAAAGCTCCTCGCAAGCTGGCTTATGAGCCAAATAACTTATTCAGCTTGCAGGCTGGCTTGCGAGCTGGCTCATGCAGAGCCTTAATAATTAAACATTGAGGATTTTACTTTTTAAACAAAAGTTGTTAGAACTAATTCTTAATTTTGTATTTATACTAAGGTTTCTGGCCGAAACTCTCTTTATTAGTAGCCGAAATTGCCAAAACACTTTGGGGAAAAATTACTTTTTTATAAGCCCAAACTATTTTTTGTTATTAGCCAAAATTGGGCGAAATTACTTTAAAGTTGCTTAAGTTAAAATAAGTTGATTGGTATAGTTTTTTAATGTTCATGTTTATAAAAAATGCTGAGAAGCTCAAATTGCCCAAACCAGTTTGGGCTTTGAGAAAACAGTTTGGACTGTAAACCTTAATTTATACAAGTGAGAGGCTAAAATTAATGCATTACTATTATGTACAAATGGCAAATAATGGATTAAATGCCATTGCTGAATCCATTTAAAACGATTTATCAAACACACACCATATTATAATTAGTAAAGATTCTAATATTATTGATATAAAATGCTTATTTGATAAAAAAAAGAAAGTTAAAAATCTATTAAAATTTAACATCATTATCATTTATAATGCATTCACATACATATTGTATACTCATTGACTAAAAATGTATTATTCCTTGGGGGTTGTAAATAAAGTCACTTGCAATCCATATTTCTTTCAGTGATGATTCTATGTGTAAAGTAACCCAAATATGTCATCCTTTTTTAACAATTGGTTTTGAACTTTATTACATATAATTAATTGGCTGCAAATGAATAAAAATAAAAATAAAAATAAATAATCAATTATATAAGACGTTGTTTTTTATGTCCTTCATATAATTTACCCCTCATAAGTCCCAAAAGTTCAATTTTTTATTATGTGCTTATCATGTATACTTTTGATTTTTCCCCCGCAATAACATCCAAATTCTGTATTTAAAAGCATTGGATAAGTTGCCTCTCCCTCTTTATCCGCCCATTCAAAGTCTAAAAATTTCATCTGGTTATTTTTTCCTATCATAATATTAGGACTTCTTAGATCTCCATGCACAAAACCATTACTATGTAACAACTTTACAGATTCTATGACTGCATTACTAACATCATGATCAATTCCACCATTCTGTGCAAGATCAGAGTGTACCATTCTCCAGGAATTTTTTCAAATGCCAACAATTTTGGTCTATCCCCATTTGGTAGCAAGAAGAATGGCATATGTCAGAATTACTCTTTGTAAATTTTATAGCAACCCTATAAGGTCTCCCAGACTCAACATTTACATATGCCTCAAAGATAAGATGTTTTCTTATCTGATCAATATATGTTAGTTGTATTGTTTTTCCAGCTATTGTTACTGAATTGATGTAAGGAAAACTCAGCTGTGATAGTAATTGACATTCTCACCATATTCAAAAGGTTGATTATCATAAATATTTCGAAGCTTCCCTAAGGCAACTTTTAGAGGTTTCAGCATATGTGCTGTTTGGTATAGTATACTTTCATTATGATTTATATAGAATAAAGGCACTATTGGGGTTTAAAGGTTCACATATTGCTTTCTCTAAAAAAGGCAGCACCAGCTATCCCCAACTAAGCACCTATTATTTATAATCATAAGTTAGTAAAAGATTAAAGAGCAACATTTATATCATGTATGTACAAAGACATACCTGTTAGGTACAGAAGAAATACTGGTGGATGAGATTGGAGAACAGAGATGCTTCTTGTTTGAACTTTCTGATAAATTCAATATAGTATGCTGATGACTGAAAATAAGCACATTCCAAGTTTGGTTTTACTACTAAGTTTAATAAAGGCATTTCAAAATTTCTCCTAATATACATGATACTGTCATCTGTAGTTCTACCTTTCCCAACTCTACTAACTTTTCCAAAGATATTAGATATGAATATCTCCAAGGTATTTACTTAAAAGTGAGCAAAAGGCTTCTTTCCTTACATCCTCATCTACGAATGTATAAGACATCTCACATGAAAGTTCGATAACAAAGTCTGTGTCAAACTTATCCATTTGACAATCCCTGAAACTTCTTTCAAATTCAGCAAAGACAGGTTCACAGAGAGTAACAAGCAATCTAAAGGCTGTGTGTGAGTGATAATTCAAGATGAATGGGTCATATGCTTCCTGATAGTTCTTCCAATTTTTTGGTTGAGCCACTGTAGATGGAGGCGGAAATTTAGTGTGGTATAATTCTCTTCCTGTTAAAGTACATTTATCTTGATCTTCAGCTGATACTGTAACTAAAAAAAAAAGTTAAACATAAAATAAGATAAAAAGTAAAGCATAACCGAGTTTGCCAAGGCAGCAAAAAAAAGAAGTGTCATGAATAATAACCAGTGCCTGAGCACAAAGTTGTTAACTGTATTTAGTTAAGGAATTAATTAATTTATATTTTACCTGCTCAATAGTAAAGAAAAAAAAAGAGAAACAAAGCATGAGTTAGTTAATGTCATAAAAATATACAAAAAAGATAAATAAATAGATGAAACAGACAGAATGAACAAAAAATAATTTTTTTTACACAATTTGTTCATTACTATACATGAGATGGTAATTTTTGACATATCATATCCTAGAATGGGTAAAGAAGAAAAATGTTACATGCTTAAATTTCTACTAGCCTGGATGTTATAATAACTCTACAATAGGAAATCTATTTGTAATTTCTTGTATCTTGTTCTACAACTTACAATAATAATAATAAATAATGGAAAAATTTTCCGTGAGAAGTTTTTAACAAGTTTTGATATATAAACTCGCAATTTATTACTTTATCAAAAATTAAAATTTTTTTTTATTTATAATAATAATAATAATAATAAAATGCAACTTTATGGCCTTATTTATGTTTCTCCTGATTCACAAGAGAAACTAATCCCTTTACAAAATGTTAAAGTTGAAGCAAATAGTTTGTATTCATAATTAATAAAATAATCAATTAATAATTATATTTTTTACTAATAATATTCCTTTTTTGGATTTTAATAGTTGTTGATATGATTGCTGAAGGTAATTAACAAGCAAACAAATATTACCATGTTTAATGATGACATTTGTTATCATTTCTCATTAATTATTTTTTTATTGTTTAGTTGTAATTTATCAAACATATAAAAATGTAGAAGATAAGAACATTGAAGCATTATATAAATTTCCAATTTACGAAGCTGCAGCAATTTGTGATTTTGAAGCAGAAATTGATGGCAAATATAAAGTTAAAGGTGTTGTAAAAGAAGCAAAACAAGCTGCTTCTGATTATAATGAAGCTATTGAGGTAAATAATTTTTGCAATCCATATGTGGATTAGTTAATAGTCCAATTAACAACAATTATTATTATTGTTGTTGTTATTATAGAAAGGATATAGTGCTTATTTGGTTGAAGAACAATTATCAGATGTATTCCAATGTTCAATTGGAAATCTAAAAAGTAACCAGACAGTAGTCATCAAAATAACCTATGTTACTGAACTTAAACACGACTCAGAGAATGAAAAAATACGATTTGTTTTACCAACTTCTATTGCAGAAAGATATGGATCTTCTTCTTCTTCAACAGCTAATTATGGTAAAAAACTTGTGCCTGATGATGTAAAATATTCTGGGGAAGCAAATTATAAACTGGATTTAAAAATTAATTGTAGAATGACCTCAACCATTCAATCAATTGAGTCTCCTTCTCATTTGATCTCTACTGAATTAAATGTTAATGGTAATCCCAAAACTTCTAATGTTACTTTGGCTGAACAAATTACTTATTTAGAGAAAGATTTTGTTTTAGTTGTCAAGAGTGAAGATCTTGATAAGCCAAGGTAATTTTATTTATTTATTTAATTGTTTATATGGGTATTTATTATTATTACAGATTTTAAAAAAATATATTTTATTTATTTGTTAGGGCATTTCTTGAATATAACCCTAAAACAGAATCTAATTGTTTAATGTTGACATTAGTTCCAAAATTTTCTTTAAATCCAATTCAAACAGAAATAGTTTTTATAGTTGATAGGTAATTTATCATTTATTCATTTGTTTGATTGTTTTTTTCATGTCAAAATAATCAAAATAATCATTACTAAATAAACCACATTAATAATATCAATAAATAGATCAGGATCAATGCAAGGTGAACCAATTAAAAAAGCAGGCCAAGCATTAGAACTATTTCTACATTCATTGCCAGAAGATTGTTACTTTAATGTGGTATCATTTGGTAGTAGTCATGATTCACTATTTCCAAAATCTCAAGAATACTCTCAAGAAACATTGGATAGAGCCATCAACCTGGCAAAAAATTTAGATGCAAATTATGGTGGAACAGAAATTTACAATCCTATAAAATGGGCATTTGATAATCAATTGAAAACTATGACCACCACTTTATTTTTATTGACAGATGGTGAAGTTTGGGGAGTTGATAAAATCATTGAATTGATTGATCAAAATGTTGAAGATAAAAACAATGATTTAAGAATTTTTACATTGGGTATTGGTGATAGTGTTTCACATCATTTAGTGGAGTCAGTTGCTAGATCTGGTAATGGGTATGCAGAATTTGTTACTAATAAAGAAAGAATGGACAAGAAAATTTTGGGAATGTTGAAAAATGCTGTTAAACCACCCATCAATGATTATAAAATCAAATGGACAACAAGTTATGACAAACAAGATGAAGAAGAAGATAAATTCTTTGGTTATTTGTTTGAAGTAGAAGGAGCTGAAGAAAAAGAAGAAAAGAAAGATAAACCTGTAATTAGTTTTTATAGTAATGAACAACCAACATCTACAACAACAAAAAAACCAGAAAAGCCTAAAAAAGATATTGAAAAATTATTGGAGCATGTTAAATTACAACAAGCACCTTATAAAATACCAGAAATTTATCCAGGAGTTAGGTTTACAGTTTATTGTATTTTATCAAAAGGTGTTCAACCATCAAATGAAATTATCTTGACTGCTAAATCTTCAGATGGGCCAATGAAACTTAATATACCAATAGATCATGTAACCTTGACTGGATCAAAAATTCATACACTGGCTGCCAGGAAACTTATACAAGATTTGGAAGAAAACAGATCATTTATTAATAAACATCCTAAATCTAAAGATAAACCTATTCCTGATTATATATTTAAAGATTATATTGTTAACTTGGGAATAAAATATAATCTAATCTCAAAATATACAAGGTAAGCAACAAATATTAATGATAATTTTTTTCTTGTAAATTAATAAATAGTAATAATATCATTAATGATTATTATTATATATAATTTTAGTTTTATTGTAATTGATGAACAATCAAAAGAATCAATTTCTCAGAAACCACCAGAAGTTAGACACGTTCCAAATAAAGCATCATCACAGATGTCACCGCAAATGCCTGGATGGTTTTGTGGTTTTGGAACTAATACTAATTCTTATACATTGGGCTTGGGTATTTATGTATTTACTTGCACATCAAAAATGATATTAATATTGACATTAACATGTAATTTATTTATTATATTAAAAAAAATGTTGTGTAGCTGCTCCAATAAATGCATCATTTGGATTTGGATTCGGTGCTGCTCCTCGACTACCAACGAATACACTTTCTTCATATGTTGCTGCTTCTCAACCACCAACGAACTCATCGGCTTTATTTGGTACTGCTTTTCAACTATCGACGAATTCATCGTCTTTATTTGGTGCTGCTCCTCAACCACCAACGAATTCATCGTCTTTATTCGGTGCTGCTCCTCAACCACCAACAAATTCACCGTCTTTATTCGGTGCTGCTTCCCAAACACCAATGAATTCACCGTCTTTATTTGATGCTGCTCCTCAGCCACCAACGAATTCACCGTCTTTATTCGGTGCTGCTTCCCAAACACCAATGAATTCACCGTCTTTATTCGGTGCTGCTCCTCAACCACCAACGAATTCACCGTCTTTATTTGGTGCTGCTCCTCAACCACCAACAACAAGTCCACATGATCAGGAAAACATTGTAAGAAGTAGTTACAATAGTTACAAGTCATTGCTTTTTCCACCTGCATTATCAGAACAGGATTGTGCTAGCAAGCCTTATGGTATTTATTATTTACTTACATAATAAAAGACTATTTTAAAATATATTTAACATAGTTTATTATTAAAAAATGCTGTGTAGTGGCTCAAACAAGTTCATATGGAAATTTTCCTGGTATTTATTTATTTATTTGCATATTAAAAAATGATATTAATATTGACATTAATTAACTAACGTATCTTTAAAAAATTTTGTTGTGCTTGTTTGCGCCACTTTCTTTTCCTCCTACTAATAATATTAATAATGATCAAAATCAAAAAGAAAAAAAGAAAGAGACGACCAAGGAAGAAATAAAAGAACATAAAAAACCCAAAATTGAAACACTATTAACATTTTTGTCACTTCAATCATTTGATGGTAAATTTCAACCTAAAAATGAATTTTTTGAATTTTTTGGAAAAAATTCAATGGATGAATTCAATTTTGAAAATAATTTTGAAAATAAAGATGATGAGCAGCAAAAAGTGAAATTATGTACTATTATTGCATTGATTTATTTGGAAGTGGTGATGATGAAGGATTTTAAAGATGAATGTGATATTTGTTATGAAAAATCTAAAAAAGCATTAACAACTAAATTTAAAGATTATAATGAAGAGAATGTCAAGAATGTCATGGATAGTGTTAGGAAATGGATGAATGATTGGATCAAAGAATAAAAATATATATGAATTTGTAAGATTAAGATTGCATATAAAGTTATATCATAAATATTAGTTACCCTTAATAATTTAAATAAAGTAAATATTTTAATTTCGTTAGATTAATTTTTCCTTACCTAACAAAAGGAGATAATATATATAGTGTATACATATGCGCTGATTTTGTTTGAACCCCAAAATCCAGTACGGTATGATCATAACGTTATGAATACTTTATACTAGCAAAAACCCATTGGTTTTGAGGTGGGGCCATTGGTTTGACGGGTTGATGGATAGTAAATTAGTTTTTTTAGCGGAGCAAATAATTTTTTTTAGGGTAATTATCATTCTACCGACCAGTTTACACATTAAAAATACTCGTGTTTAACATCGAGACACAATAAGACATAAGGTTCGAAAAAAGGCCCAAAATACCAAATCGGCTGATATGATATATACATAATTTCAAAATAACAATAGCACCTCGATAAATAAACACCAAGGATCTTATTTTTTAAACAAAAGTTGTTAGAACTAACTACATGTATCCTCTTTCACATCTATCTAATCGGATGGATGGTAAAGGAATTAAAACAATTTATTAATACCAATGTTTATTGTATGTCTGTCTCATACTAAAATTTTCATTATTGCATGTTAGGGCCTTCCATTTGGAATGTTTCATGGTCGGATATATGTACAATAAACCAGTTTTGAATGCAGAAACATACAATAATTACGTCAAAAAGTCGAGAATGGGTGTCACTTACGTGCTACTATTTTAAGCTCAGCGAGCATGCAATAACTCACATTTATACTAGTGTTCAAAACCAGAATTGAGTTCGTCCGATACAGTCTCAGTCCCAAAAGACCGGTCTTTAGATGCAGTCCTTTGAGACTGCTTAAGGTTGTTTGTTAACTCGATAGTATTTTGATGTAAATTACATATTGCAAAGGCATCTTTTTGGTCGATTATTTTACTATTACGTTTTATAAACGAGTTCGAGTTAACTTTGAACAAGCTTTTATGTACAATACCCGTCAATTAATTTACCTGCGAATTTACTTACAATAATCCTGCCTACCGCCTCTTTCCTGTACCTAGAAAGCTTCGGCGAATCTGTAGGCACGCTTTATGGTACAGATTTAATTATTTTGTTCCTAAATAAATTATTAATGAATATTAATGAAAAGAGGCTAGGTCACACAACCCTAGTCAAAACTAAATCCAAAAAGCAAACAGAAACAAAAATGAAATTTATTAGATATTTATTTAAAGGATAAAGAAGTACCAGCTGGCGAAGGTTAATCAAATAATAGATAGATAGAATGTACATTGTATATTTATTTATTTATTTATTATTGTTGCTTTTTTCAATTAGATTATTTAATTGATTCTGCCTTCATTTTTTTAACATGAAAAATATATGCGTTTTTTTTTTGATAAATAACATAAATAAGTAGTAAAATTTATCGTAATAATAAAAAAATAATGAACTAAAAAAATGGTGATTTGCTCCCGGCGAGGATCGAACTCGCGACCTTCGCGTTGCTCAAGTATAGGATTCAGGCCTATAAGCACGACGCATTGCCACTTTGCTACGGGAGCTGAATTTATTATTTTTTTCCAATAATTTATCAATTTAAAGTTTATATTTAAATTTATTAATAGAATGGGCTTTGAAATTTGAAGAAAAAAATTCATTTTGCCTTTCCTTCTTGATAATATCATTATTTTTGTTTATTTATTAAAAAATATTTTTATATACCAAACTTACAAAGGAACCAAATTTCTTTCGTGACAAGTTAGTTACATTTATAGCATAGATATTAATTAATTAATATTAACTAAAAAATATTAAACATAAATCACACCATGAATCAATTAAAAACATTCGCCCATCTACCACAACAACATACTAACACCGTTGCCAATAATAGTAATGTTACGACATAGAGCCATTATCACCTAGATGACTGGTGTGCTGCATGTGAAATTTTGCATGTCAATTTAAAATTGACACCGTTGTTACAACTCAAAAAATACGTGTAAAGGGTTTCATTGTCCGAGGCTCACTATATATATACAGTGTGTTGCAAAAAAAAAACCGGAAAAATCAAATTAATCATCATGGAACAACCATTGCATTAATTCACATAGAAAATATTTCCATCCGATAGGTTAAGAGCAGAACTTTTATTGGATATATTTTAATACGAAATACTTTCACTATTGATTTTAATTGCGGGCTGACATCTTGATTTTTTTATCAAAGTAAATTAATTAGAAATAAATCAGGAGTTGGATTTCATTTTTCTATGATGAATCATCTCACATCTTTAAATTTTAACTTCTATCACGTTATTTATAATTGATTACCAAAATTTTAAAGAAATCTAGTACATAATAATAATTAATAATAAATTGTGATATGTCACGTGATTCAAAAGGTGATTCCGTTTCTTCGAACGATTAACTCTCCTATAAGCCACATCGTCCGTTTCATACAACTTATTAATATTGAAATAGTTATTTGAGAATGGAGAGTTAGCAATCTGGTACATTTATTAGGTAAATGTGTCTCATTTATTCTAATAACATAATTGCAAAAAAGCAAGTAAAATTCAACCATATTGTGACAACTAATTGCCAGATTCAGTTAGAAAATGGTTTAAAGTGATTTAAAAAAGCAAAGCTTTGTTTAAAAATTTATTTGAGTCAAGCTGATGAATTTTTAGTAATATTATAAAAAGTTTTTTGACAACAGTAACTTTCCGGTTTTTTTTTTGCAACACACTGTATATAACTTATAGAAAATACAGTTTTTTAAAAATAAATTTTTTAATTGATTTAACTTAATAATTAACATCTGGTTCATTCTTCTGTATTTTTAAATGGTGATTAAATAATCTTTTCGCTCATTAAATTTACAACCTTCTTCAAATTTAATGTGTCAAATATAACCACGATTCTTCAAGATCAATGAAATTTGTTCTTAATTCTAATTGCAAGGCTGTCTTGTCTGCCTATCATATTCTTTTTATTCACGAAAGATTATATAAACTTATACTTTAAAGATTTTAGTATAATTGCGTGATTAAAATCTTGGGCAGTAATGTACATTTTATTATTTGGTGAAAGTATTAATTAAATAGGACAGTAATAATCCTCTCGCAACTTTTTTTACGAATTTTCTAAATAAGCCGCATAAAACAAATATATCACATATAAATGACTTTATTTTAACAAAAAATGATGCAACTTTATTGAAGTTGCCACGAACAAACTCATGAGCAAAATGACAAGTGTAGCAAATGTACTCAAAGATGTTTGATCTTTTGAATATTAAAGAAACACATATCGAATCGTTTGAATCAAGATGCGTAAATCACCCAGAATTTACTCATTGTGATTGGGTAAAGAGTATTATCAATTAACTGGATAGTTATTTTATGACCATACTTCGGATAAGATGAAAATAATTCCAAAATAACACTGTAATACGTAAAACATCTATATAGTACCTCTTTAATTTATTAATAATAATTTTTAATTATAAGAATATTAATATGATAAAGATTAATAGTTAATTAAACATTAAAATAGTCATTTGATGGTTGTTTCAGTTATTGTTGAAGGATCAAATTCAATCCTATCCAACTCATCAAATATATTTCTATTTGATCTTATCAATAATAATGTTTTTAACTTCTTCGACGGTTGGACGTTTATCTGAATTAACTAACATCCATACGTACATACATTTATATGTCAATTTAATATAGAAATTTGGATAGTCTTCCGCATGTCTTTATTGAAACCAAATTATTAAAGGGTTGTAATCCAGTTGACACTACTAACATCGATACACCAAAACTATATATATATTTGATGGACTTGTCATTTAACACGCTGGGAGCTAAATATGACATTACACAAATCATATACGTATCATTTTTATTTGGTGATGATGAAAAGCAAAAATCATGTAAAATATTGCCACTATAAAAATTACGATGCAATGAGCAATTTTGGCCGCTCTACGTGTAGAAAGAATATTTTAGCCTAGGAAATATACCACTTTGCATAGTGATATTGTTCTTTAAAGTTTCAATAACAACAGGAAATTTCTTGAATATAATCTTTTTTCAAAACATAATTTTCATGTTATGGTCCTTTTTCATTTATTATCCAGATTCAATACGAGAAAATGCATTATGTATTCATTCCGCATCTGTATCAATCCTCTACTTAATTTTTATAGGGGAATAGATTTGTTGAAATGAGGTTGACTGAATTTGCCTTATTCTAATTAAAATAAAAAATTAATTTAAAAATCTGGTTGATTCAAATCAAGTCATGAAATCAAATCAAAAATCAAATCTGAATTCTGCTCGCTTGGGGCCTTGATCGGAAATAATCGTATCTTCTAACTTTAACTTCATCATTGAAGTTATTAGTCAATTCATCCCGAAAACAAAGCTTTTGTTTCCAGACAAATGCTAATAAGATGCAATATTCCCCAATATACAGGGCTATAAAACGGACTCTAGAGGATTTCCTTTTTTGAAAACTGTAGGTTAATGTGTTTTGACAAAATAAAAAAGATTTCCATCCAAATATTTATTTATATTGAACAAAAAATGGGTTTTATGAATAATTGTTATGCATTGAATAAATCAATAGGAATATAACAAAGTTAAAGATTATGAAATAGGTCCAGTGGTAATGACATTAAGAAAATGGTATATAAACAGGACTACGATCGCCTTTATTTTCTACATTATATACAGTATATATAAACTGAGAACTTTCAATGACTTTATTAGTGGATTATTCGCTATGAAACAATGAAATGATCAATGATTATTGGCATATATATTTTTTTTTCTTTGTTTGTATTGAAAAAAATTATTGGGAATGTAGGGATTATTGCCTTCGCAGCAAGTTTTTTGATTCATAGACAGACAATATTTATTGAATTAGCAGTTTATATAGTTTAAGCAAAATAAATCTT